AAACATTATCATCGATGTTGCCATGAAGCATGGTATGAACATACTTGATACCTATATGTAAACGTGAGAGTCTACGTAACAGTCACTTTAATGTCCTTGATGTACCCCCCTTCCCATATTACGTTTCTAATTGATTAATTATTAACGACATGTGTACAACAGTAAAATGCATGATTTACAAGAGAAACGTCAAATACCAAAACATTTCTAGTAGAAAAATAATATTATTTTGATAAATAATTATCAAGTTCATCGTTTGATTGACTGAAAAAAATATTTTACGATTGGCTAGGTGATGACAATTGATATTGACGGATATGTTCGTTGTTTTTCTATTCCCCACGACAATGCTTGTGATCAATAATCAATTATTGATAAATTTGTCAGTTGCTCATTCCAATTTGTAACATTGAGTTGGTCATAGAATTCTGACCTTTGAGAGTGGTGTTCAAGTTAAACGAAAAACAATCGTTGGTTAGAATTGGTGTGGTTAACCGTGGAGAATTGGTACAAATTTTCCCATAAAAATAATTCGAATAAACGTTTGTCCCGTTTTGAGTAAAATAATTTATTTATGTATTAAAATAATATCAGTTTAACGTTATTTGTTGGCAGATGATCGTCTGTACCACTGTGGACCGTGGATAACATTATATACGAGCAATCATCGGTTGTGTAAAGCTGCGTGGAGGACGCTTCCGGTAACGACGACGACAGCGAAGACTCATATCGGCTGCAGCAGCTCCGGTTACAGCCGGATATGTCCACTCCGGCGGTCACCACTCCAGCGGAAGCCGCAACGGCGGCAGACACCATGCAGGCCACCACGACAGTAACCACGGCTTTGGTCGAACCGGCGAATCATCGTCGATCGCCACCAAAAATAGTCACCGGAAACGCGAGGCACGTGAGCATGCCGCAAATAGATTCTCGGCCTCGTCATTTGCAGGAGAGTACGATGACTGCCGCCGCGAAGTCCGCCAAAGAGCAGACAGCACTCAAGCAGCGTCAACAGCACGGCAGGTCGAACAGCGCGACCGTGTTGACAGCACCTGAGAGGGGTGTACACCGCGTCTTTGGCGGAGGCGGTGGTAGTAGTGCCGGTGGAGGTGGTGGTGGAAGTAGTGTCGGAGCAGGGTTCAAGAGCAAGTTGCGCAACTCATTCCGGTCGACCGCCAAGAGGATTCGACAACAGCAATCAGCCATCGACGCGCTGGCCAAGAACAGCCAAATGCTCGGGCTGCACAACCTTCAAGACAGTTCCAGGACGATGCAGGTGCAACGGACAATCGGTCGCGTAAGTATTGTGTGATGACGGCGATATGGTTGATATAGAGTGTTCCATGAACAACGACCTAGTTCCAAAAAATCATTTTTAATTGTATGAATCAAAATGTAGATGCATCAAAATATGTGCACGCGCCGAAATTATTATCGTTTATAAGTGAAGCGACACCGTCAGCTGTTAAACGAACCAGAAGAGTCTCTAGTTTTTTCACCTCTTTCAAAAACTACTCTTGACATTAATGAGAGACTGTCAAGAGAAAAAGTGTCTAGAGGCCGTCGGTTTATTGTGAGATCAATACACCAGACATGTTAGTCATGGTCGGGGATGAGTTTGGTTGTTGTTGTGACCTCATAGATTAATACCYAACCTAACCGTAGAGGAGGGGCATAATGAAAATTTGAGAAAAAAATATTTTACAAAACTTAGTGATCTACGTATTTTTGATTGATACTGACTTTAATTTTGTAAAAGTAATTTGTTATATAATATTAAATCATTTTAAAATCCAGACATTATCTATAGAACAGCCTATGAAGCATAAAACTAGGCAGGAACGGCGCTAAGATATTACAATCACCTAATTGTCAAGAAAGCTCTAATGCACTCAACGTTTGACCACAGTTGGATGTAAGTAATAATAACTATTGAAGTGATGACTAACAGTTTATTTGCTATTTACAAGGCTGGGAAAGTTAATGATTTTTTTAACTTGGTTAAGTTAAATATTTTTTGTTCAATTAAATTAAAAGTTAAATTAATATATTTTGAATACATCAATTAAGTTTAAAGTTAAGTTAACAAATTTTTTGAACTTAACTTAACTTCAATTAATAAGTTAAGTTAATAATGAAAAAAAAAATTCATTGAAAAGGTTTTAAAATAAGTGAAAATCACTTGTATAGTAGGTAATATATCTATGAATATAATACATGCATATTATATTGATATGAAGTATATAATTTAAAAACTGTTGTAGGACTGTATCATTTTATAACTCTATTTAATATTTATATATCACTCTGGAGTCTGGGTTGATTTATATTTTAGTTTAAATGTACTTACTTTATTGTTTAACTTTAACAATTCAAAAATAAATAACTCTAACATTTAAAAATAAGGAATACAAAAACTAGTACCTACTTTTCTGCTGGTTTATTCAAAGTATTTATTAAATCTAAATAACAGTCATTTCAAAATTTTGATCTGCCATTGAACCCCTTTTTTTATTGAGCAACTGCCCTCCAGTACTAAAGATCCGCTCAACGTGTGCAAATGAAGGCAGTATTGTATTTTATATATACTTCTTTAAGGGAATTTGGTAAATCTAAAGGAGATTCAATATTTTTATTATACAAATAATTGTCAACAAGAAGTTTTAGGAATGATTACTTATATGAATGTAAAATTGTACAATTAATGTATATAATACTTTTTTTTTTATTAAATTAAAGTGTTTCTGACATACAAGGTCATCGAACTTATTGATACAATAAAGAATTTTTAACATCATTAAGTTGTTAAAGGTAAATTAATTACAACATATACAGTAAATTACAGTAAATTACAAAGA